CTGGTTTGCCTGGCCCTGACCCTGCCTGCTGCTGCCCTTGGGCTGCTCTTGGGCTGTTCAGTGCCAGTATCAGGTAAGAAAACAAGTAGATAAAGCAGGCAGGATCCCAACCGTGCCAGAAAACACCCACCTCTTTTACAAGAAAAACACCAGCAAGCCAATTTTTTTTTCGAGATATACACAGAGATTAGACTGCCTTAACGAGGCAGTAAAACACTTCACTAGCACTCCTTGCTTGTTATTAAAATGTCCCCTGGGCTTTCCCCTCCCTGCGTGCGGCTGAGCTCCAAAAGGGCCCGTCCCCGGAGCGCTGCAGCCAGTTAAGCGATTTCTGTGAGTTCCTGTGGGGAGGAGGCATGAAAATAACCTTTTCCCAGGGGAAAAATAGCGGGGTCCCCACAGACGGAAGGGAGGTGGCCGAACACCCTTGCTGGTCAGAGGGTGCTTGGCCCCTCTGCCAAACACCGCGGCCTTTGGTCTGGCAGCCCTGTGGCCCCACACAACCCCGTGGGCTCACTGGTGTGGGGAACGGCTGCAGGGGGGGTGTGGGTGCAAGCACAGACCGTGGGGCTGGATCCCAGCGCTTCTACCCTCCTCGTGCCAGGAGAGGGATGCTCCCTGTTGACCCTTGTACAGTTCCCCGCCCAGGTCCCGCACACCCCACGGTTCTCTGTAACCCTTGCCAGGGAGCAGCACTGTGAGCAGAGCCCTGGGCTTGTGCTGCCTGACCCATTGCAGACAGTGTGGGGCAGGAGAGGCCAACAAATGGGACGGGAAGGGCCGGTGTTGCCCTCAAGCCCTGCCCTGTTTTGGCAGTGGGGATGGTCTGGCCAAGGCTAGAGTGTTGATGCTGGCTGCAGAGAAGTGTTGATCCCCAGATCCCTGAGGAGATTCTCATGATGCCAAAGGCACCTCCAATTCAGGACAACATTCAGTCCCATTCCTTTGGGACTTGGCACCCATCTGTCCCCATCACCCAGCTCTCCTCCTGCCAGCATGCCTCACCCAGCCCACTCCCCACGCTGCTCCTGGAATGCCCTAGTGGTGGGTTAAGTCAGCCCGGTGTAAGATTCCTGCGTCCTGAGTTTCAAGTTGGTCTCCAGCTTTTCCTTCCCACAGCCCCAGGATCCCGGGTCTCCAAAGGTGGGAACTTCCTGGAAATTTTGTGCAAAGAGGAGAAGGGAGAGACATCCCCCCGGTGCCTGTCTTCTGCTGGACCTCACAGGGGATACTCCAACTGCCCAGGGCAGCTCAGGCACCAGGTGGGGGTCTCCTGGTAGCCTCCTGCCTCCTCCCCACCTGTGGGAACGCCCTCCTGAGATTCTTGGTATCCACAGCTGAGTGACTGTGAGGCTGGCAAACAAGGGCACAAAGTCAGAGCTTGAGCCAGGAACGAGCTGAGCCTTGGGGAAGTGCCTTCCCGGGCTGTTTGTTCCCCGCTGGGGGCTGGCACCAGGCCAGGCCTTTGCTTTGGAGACTAATCCTCTGGCTTTAGAGCTTCCTGGCACTCCTCGGGAGTGAAAAACAAGCGTGACTGCTCAGGGCCTCATGGGTGTGTGGGCACGGGTGGGTGACAAGAAGAGGCTCAGGGCTTCATTCCCCGCCTGTGCCCTGCTTCCAGCCCAGCCAGGGTGCCAGGAGGGAGTGGTGGCACAGCTCTCCCTTTCCTCCTCCCTGGGTGCTGGGCACCCACCCTGGCCCATCAGCATCTCTGATGTGGCACCTTCTTCCCACTTACATGACCCATTGCTTGGCAAGAGTGCCCCTACACCTCCCACATGGGAACTGGAGCTGGGGACGTCCAGGAGTGATGCCAAAAGCTGTGTGTGCCCAAGAGATGTGTGTGCTCCTGCCACCAGCTCTGCACTCTGTGGGGACCAGAAGAAAAATATGAATTGCTCGTCTGAGAAATTATTCTTCTTTCCCTGTCTTAGCTCAGCCTGACCTAGAAGAAACCCCCTGGGGTGTTTTTTTCCCCCCTGTGGGATGTTTAAAGGGAAAATTACAGCAAATGTGTTGCAAAGAGGCTGTGGGAGACAGGGACCAAACCTGCAAGAGGGCAAAGTGGTGCAGGCAAGGCTGGAATTGTTTTAGGTAGGATTTGCCAGGCTGCCCTCTCTTGCAAGACCCTCTGGTCTGGGGTGAGTGGGCTGAGAAAATTTCATCTGCCCAACAGTGGGCAGTAAAAGAGAAACAGTAAAATGTTAAGAGATGTGTTGGGTTCCTCCTGGCAGGGTGTAGAGTCAGGGGGACTTTTGGCTGGAGAGAAGTAAAAACTCAGCTGATGGAGAGAGAAATGGCAATGGAAACAAAGCAGCTGCAGCACTCCGTGTCCCTTGTTGATGGCTGTGGTCCTGGGGTGGTGACAGGGGCTGGGTGGAGGGACAGCACTGACCACCAGGACAGGGGCAGGAGGTGAAATATGCCTCTCTTGCTCCTGCCCCACTAAACCTCCTGCTGTCTCATTTCACATCCTTTTTCCTCTTTTTCCTCAGTCCCCTTCTTCCCCAGGGATGAAGCCTGGATGGCCCAAATGCCACCCTTGGGTTTGTGGGCACAGGATGGGTAAGGGAAAGCAGCCACCCCAGCACCAAAATGACCCCAGTTAAATGCTGAAGTTCATGTCTTGGGGGTTACATCCCGGTGTGGAGCTTCACCAGCCTTTAAAGCTCATCAGCTGCCCTGCAAAGGGCTCTGCTCCTGAGCTGAAGGGCCAGAAACCCCTTCCCTGCTCCCTCCCTACCTCAGTTTCCCTTTTGTAAGGACGAGGGGCATTAGAAAGGAAAGAAATGCCCAGCACCATGCAGCTCCTCTTGCTCCTGAGGACTTTTTCATGTCTGTGCCATGGAGCTTGTTCCAGCTCCACAAGTCGTGGACGAGAGAAGGGAGGCCAGGCAGTTGCTCTGGTGCTCATCCATGTGTCCCTGTGCATCTGACTGCCTGTCCCTCCTCATCAGAGTGCTTAGACTGGGGAGGGAGTGCACCACTTGTGGCCATCCAACACCTCCTTTTGCAAAGGGATCTCGAGTCCAGGACCAGCCCCAGCTGGAATCCCTGAGCTGGGAGAGAGGTGATGCTGGGAACTGAAGGGGTTTGAGGCAGTTTTTTGGGGCAGCAGCCCCCATTTTGGAGGCTCAGCCCTGCCTTGGGGCAGGAGGGTGCAGGCAGTGTGAGCAGCGAGGATTACGGCTGCTATAAAAAGCACCAGCATCTCTCGCCCCTGCTCCCTAAGGCGCTTAGGGGAGGAAAGAGGGAATTAAAGAGCAACCTCCTGCACTGAGGAGGTGCAGGGACTGGAGCAGCCAGACAGCCTGGCACACTCATCAGATCCCTCCCCCCCTCAGCATCCCCCAAAACTTCCCCTGGACAAAGCAGACCCCAGCACGTCTGCCCATGGACCTTCTCCCTGGGCCCTTGCTGTTGGATGACCAGACTTTCATACCCTGCTTGTTGTTGTGGGAGGCAAGGAGAGGGCTGAGGGGGCCAGCCCAGCCTGGAGAGGGGATCCTGGTGGGCAAGAAGATAAGGGTGCTGTACCATTTGCAGTGGCCTCTAACAAAAAATGTGGAGGTCTCCTTTCCCTGTTCTCACAGCTTCACTCATCTACCTGGTCCTGTCCTGCCACCCTGCCCCAGAGGTCCTCCTAGGGCACTGGAGACATCCTCCAAAAGGCAGCCAGCTGCATGGGTGGATGGCTGGACAGAAGAACACTGAATTCTTGGAGGGACAGGGGTTGCTTTCAGCCAAAAACCACGCTCTGCCTCCAGTGTCCAGAGGCAAAATGTCTCCACAGCCTTGGGACTCTCTGACAGGCTCACAGTTATCCTCAGAGCTCAGCACTAGTGCTGTGTCTGGGGACATTTTTGGGGACCGGTTAGGGGGAAGACAGGTGCCAGATGATGGCGATGATGGCAAAGATGCAGGGATGGGGGGATGTGAAAGGAAGGTGGTGTGGGAAACTGCGGTGTCTGCAGTTTTGCACTGGCTTGTGGCAGGTTCCAGCGGGGTCAGTTACAAAAGCAGGTACAGCCGTGGGGTCCTGTGGAGCTCTGGTGCCAGCCTGGTTCCTGGCACTGACCAGGTGTGACCCCTTGGCTCAGGGAGATGGGTTGGTGGCTACCCTCGCCACTCACGCTGCTGTAACATTACCCAGGGCTCAGTTGGTCTGGGAAATGGACACAGCGTCAGGATCCTTCCTTGCATCCCTGCAAAAGAGGGGCTTCAAAAGACAGGTGCTGACTCCAAGAGGCTGAGGGGAGTGGGCTGACGGCACTTCCTCACCAGCCCCTTCCCAGAATTGAGCAGTCTGGTGGACCCCGGTGCAGGTGGCCACAGGAGGGAGCTTGGCTCCTTCCTTCTGCTCCTGCTCGGAGGACGGTGGCCTCGGGTGGGTGTCAGCCAAGCTGGCCCCCGGGCGTGGGTTGCTGGTTGGTGCAGGAGCATCTCCTCAGGGTCAAGCCATCTAATATGGGACCCGAGGTGTCTCAGGAAGGGAGCAAGAGCCTGGCTGGAGTGGAGGTGGCTGCCTCCTTCCTCAGGGAAGCCTCCACCTTATTTCCAGCAGTCGATGGGTCCACAGTGCAGACAAGTCATGGGGCTGTTTCCTGCAGCTGTGGGGGGACCTGTTGTGCCTAGCAAGTGGTATGTCCCCTTGCCAGGGACCAGTCCCTCTGAGAGCAGTGCCAGTGTGGGACATGTAGTCTCGCTGTCCCTCCCGAGCAGTGGCCAGAGGCACCTGGGTAACCCTGATGTCCGGCCCCTGGGTGTTGAAAGGGCAGGGGAACAAGAAAAACAGCCCCTCCCCATATAACCCCCTGTTCCCCAGAAATCTGGACCTTCCCAGTTTCCCCAGCCCACAGCAGGCTCTGGTGCTGCAGCTCCATTCCCAAGGGCCGACAGTTATGGGATCACCCTCCCCAGCATCCTCACGTGCTGTCGGGGCATCTCTGCCCGGCTCCCCTTCACAGCCCCACAGGAGATGGCTGGCAGGTGCCAGAGCAGCCACGCTACAAACCCAGGGCCAAAATAATGGAGGAAAATGGTGGTGGCAGCAACGCTGTGTCTGATTGGAAATGGTTAATTACTGGGGGGAGGTTTGTGGTAACATCCTGCAAAGCCGACAAAGCCCCAGCGTGGGACTGCTGGTAATGGCTCTCATTAAAGCCATTGGAGCAGGAGGTTGAAACCGCATCCATTTTCCTAAACCCCTTTCAGAAGGAGAAAATTGCTGTTCTAGCCCCTGCTATTCATGGTGTGCTGGGTACTGCAGGCTGAGAAAGGCAGGGCTTGTCTCCCTGAGTGCAGAGGCGGAAGTCTGGACCATTGCCTTTTCTCAAGGTCAGGTCTGCGGGCCATCAGTATAACCTTTTTTTTTTTTAAGTTCAGGAAAGATGTGGAGAGCAAAGGGATCTTCATCAGGAAGAGGCACTGGGACCAAGGAATGACGCCCCTGCTGAAATGGGCTGTGAGCTGGAACTGCAAAACTAAGGGGAGGAATGATGGCCCAGGCAGGTCACCAAAGTACAGTTCTGGATTTGGCCCCTACTGAACTTTCTCTGCCTTTCTGCAGCCCCCAGCTCCCTGCTGTGCCCTGGGCCTGTCCCCAGAAACACAGGTACCCCCATTTCTCTGCTGCCTTCTTTTGTCTCCTTTGCCCTTTCCACCACCCCATTTCCATGCCGCTGGACAGCCCCACGCCAAAGGACCGCCCGGCCTCTCTCCAGCTCATTTGTCTTGCAAGCTTTGCTTGGTGGGTGTATTTTGCATTTGCTTTTTCTTTTTTGCTATTCACAGGACACAAAGAAGGGGTCACAAACCCACGGGCAGATGTCAGGACAGGGCTGACAAGCCTGGGAGAAGGGGCAATGCCACCCACCCCCAGCAAGGTCCTTAAGAGGCAAAGCCAGGGGGAGAGGGCTTTGCTCCACTGCGCCGGCTCTGCCCATCCCTTCCTCTCACTGCCCGGTCCTGCAAGGTGGCTGCTGCACTGTTCCACTGCTGCATCCCTCTGCTCTATCCCTCTGCTCCATTCCTGCTCTCCATCCTGCTGCTCCATCCCTCTGCTCCATCCTGCCCGGCCCGGACATGGCGCTGGTCACGTCTGCTGCGGCAAGTGGCAAGTCTCGCTGATGGCAATGACCACGTCCTGGGACTGCCGGTCCCGGTGCCGCGGCGCCTCGGGCATCTCGCTCATCTCGTTGACGCTGTTGCTGATGCAGTTGATGTCGCTCTTGTTGCTGTTGTCATCCGGGTTGGGGCCAAAGATCCAGTCTGGAGGAGGGAAAAGCACAAAACAAGGCCCCGATTACCTCTGGCTGTTCCCAAAGTCCAAGCCACCTGGAAAACTGCTGCCTCCTGCTACATCCTACCTCTCACTCTGGGTTCTCACCCTCCCAGGAGGGTCCCTTGCCCACCACTGCCCTTTCAGCCCCCTCTGCTCCTGTGGAGTTGCAGTCTCTGCTCTTCCCAGCTCTGGGCTGGTTTTCAGGCTGCTGGTTTCTGGAAGTCCTCCCGGCTTAGGCAAATGAAATCACTCTGCTAATCCCAAAAATGGGAATGACGTGCCTGTGAAGTGAAGTGTGCATCTGGGCTCTCGGGCAATGTATTTCCTACGGTGGGTTTTTGCTGTCTGAAACAGAGGGGACAACTAAATAACTACGTGACATCCAAACTGGACCTGAGGCATGGCTGGGGACGTGGCTTTTCTGCCTTAAGAACGTATCACAGCCAAATCAGGGCTTCAAACCCCCCATAACAGCTTTGGGGTTGTGCTTCTTGCTGGTCACCAGAGCACCAGGACGTGGCTCTGAGCTGATCCAGCCACTCTCACAACCCTGAGGGTGACTGTCCAAAACACAGTGTCACTGCTGGATGGCTGCATGACCAAGACACCCTCTGCACCACAAGGGGCTGCAGCTCAGTGGAAGCAGGTGGTGCTGCTCTCCAAACAGCTATTTTTAAAAAAATTTGGCTGTTTGGGCAGTGAGAGGCCATGCCCAGCCATGATGGGAAGGCAGCAACAACAAGGAAACCAAAGCTGGGGAAATCCAGCCGAGGGGAGAAGAGCCCTTAGAACCTTGTGGTGGTGGGCAGTGGAGCATCAGCACCCCCTGGTTTAGCCCTGCTCCCAAAATAAAGCAGAGAGAGCTGTCAGGAGCAGACAGAAGGGCCAGCCTGGTTTCGCTTTTTCTGAGGGACTCCACTTATTTGCCAGTGGATTGCTCTCAAGAAATAGCATTTCTCTCCTTTGTGGCATGGGGTATTTTCTGTCCCCTCAGGGCATTTCAGCTGAAGCTGTCTGGTGGAGGATGCGAGCTGCCTGGTGGAGCAGGGACAGAGAAATGCACTCCCAGTGAGACGTTGCCTTTCTCATGGGCTGCAGAAAAAAGTTTTGCAGCAAAACCGAGGCTGAATGATGGCAAATGCCATCAAGTGTGAAGGGAATGAAAGATCTAATTTCTCAGCTCGCCAGTGGTGTCCAGACATTTCTGCAGGTGTGAGAAGAGAGACGAGAATGACCCATGGTTCTCTCTGCACTCGGTGTGTGCACTGTAGGTCAAATTTGCTGGCTCCAAGGAGGATAATGCTCCCACCACACTGGGCACAGGCAACATGGCCAGAGAGTGACTGTTTTCTCTTGGTTTTCCTTTTTTGTTTACTTTCATCAGTGCACTAGCAGGGTCTGCTGGTTGTGTGACATGAAGGGCAGGAGAAGAACCACCACAGTTCCCTCAGATACCGCAGTGCTGGCAAGAGTGATTGGGAATCTCAACAAAGATGTGGTCCAAAGGTTTTTGGGGAGTCCTGGGTCTGCCCCAAGTCCCAACTAGGGCATTTAGCTTTCACTTGCATGATCCACAGCCCCATCCAGAGCCTGGGCTCCCCATCACAACACTTCCCCAGGGAAAATCACCCAAGCCCAAAAGTATTTTTTTCCTTTATAGCTTCGATTTTTCTTGGCTTTACTGGATTTAGACTAAAGCCAAACACTCCACCATCTTCTTCCTGGTCTGGCCCTCCAGCCTGGGCTGGGTCCACACCAGACAGAGCCCCAGACTCTTGCCCTCAAGACCTTCCAGGCTCTTCCAGCCCCCGCACAGCCACTTGTCGTGAGGAGAATCCAAAGGCAGTAACAAGATTGCCTCCTACAAATACTATTAAAGGTCTCGGCTTGCTTGCCTTGACGTCAGCTGTAAAACTCCAGTGGGAGCAGGGGTTGGTCCAGCAGGGAAGAAGGGGAATAATCAGTGGGAAAAGGGGTGATGGGTCGCTAAACATCCTGGGAGCCACGGGATGAGGATTGCTGTGTGCAATAGGAAGCAAAGAGCTCAGTGCTGGACGCCTGTGAGTGAGGGGAAGTGGCACTTGGTGGCCAAATGATGAAACCTTGGGGACATTTGCAGGAAGCAGAAGAAGCAGGAGATGGAAGCAGCACTGTGGAAAAGGCAGAAATGCAGGCGATGGGTGTTTTGGGACAGCGCCAAGGAGACCACCAAAAGCCATTTCTATGGGAAAAGGGTCACAATGCACTGTCACCCAAGGGGATGTGGCTGACCAGGGTGCCTGGGGAAGGTGGCTTGTGTGAGGCTGCCACAGTCTAATTCCCGGGTAAGAGCAGGCTGGATTGTACGCGCTAATCCGAACCACTGCTTCCCTGGGAATTATTTCTGGAGCCTGCTGGATCTAATTACCCAGTAATCTGCAGGAAGATGTAATTAGGCTGTCATTAGAGGGTATTTACTGCGATGCCTTTATGATTTGACTGTGTAAGTAAGGAGTGAAGTAATTACACAATTACACGTTATTTGTGGCCATTTATGGCCTGTAACTTCAGCGTGTTGCCATGTGTGGAAGAGGGGAGTGAGGCCCCGAGGAGCTGGCGGAGAATCTCCTGCCAGCAGGACCCTGGAGAAACAGCCATAAAAATGTCAGCACCCTCATCTCCCCTGCCAGCCACTGCCGGATCTGTCCCAGCCACGCACGCTCCTCCCCAGTTTCACCCCATGGCTCCTCTCAGTTTGTGGGTGAGAAACCAAGGTCTCACAGGTTCCCCTGTGGGATGTCTGGAGAGGGACGAGGGAGAAGAGAGAGGAGACCTGCAGATCTTTGGTGTCAGTGGGATTAAATCTTGCTCTGATGGGGAAGGGTCTTTGCAGGGCATGGGATGCACAACCTCACGTCATGCGCAAGCACACGATGTAAACCTCGGATAATGAACCCAACAGGAGGTGTAATCAGGTAATGGAGGGTGGTGAAGAAATGGGAGCCAAGGCATGGTGGTCACAGCTGAAGGTAACTGTAGCCCTTAATATAACCCCACGTATTTCTCTCTCCATCTCTTACATCTGGCAGGGGGCTGAATGAGCAACAAAAAATAGACATAATTGCCACTGAGAAGAAAACAAAATCCGCTTTTGGATCAAAGTCCACATATGTGTTCACGCAATCTCCAGCCAGAAGGCAAGCAAAATCAGGCTAAGCCAGGACACCCAGTGGTCCTGGGACACGCAAGGGCAGAGCTGGGGTGAGCAGGGACCACACAGTGTGCTCCTGGGATGGTGGCACCTCTGGACCCTGGACAGTTGCGCTCTGGAGACAAGAAAAAGCATTTCCTGCCCTTACCCAGCCACTGGAAGGAGCTCGTAGCATATGCTGCAAAATCCAGGGCATGCACTCGGGCACGTCTGTGAATGTCTTGGATAAAAGAAAGGGACAAAGTGACTTTCTCAGCCAGGCTGGGGGAGCAGCATCTAACCCAGAGATGCCTCTCCCCGCTCATCAGGAGCTGCTGAGGCTCAACGTGCCTGCTGAGGTCTGCGGGGTGAATGGAGAGGTGGGAAGTGCTGAGGTGGGGTGAGATCGATACAGAGAGATTGATCCAAAGCAGCTGGAGAGAGGAGATAGAGCAGACTGAGCAAATTAGGAGTTGTGGAATAGCAACCCTCTTATTATTATCATCCCTAAGTAGCAGAGTAATGTGGCACAAAACTCCCCTGCACTTCCCTGGCTCTGTGAGAGTCTTTGACAGCACCGCTGGAAGCAGACACTTGAGATGTGCTGTATTTTTGGGGGCAGAAAAACACTGGGGTTGCCCAGATGTCACAGTGTGCCCTCCTTGTTCCGGCAGCATGAAGGATGGCCCTCGCTTGGAAAACCCTTACAATGCAGGCAGTAGGGAGAAGCGTCCTGCTGTCTGTGTGCAGAGGGGCACAGGGATGCTCTACCCTCAGTCTCATCCCAGTGGGGGTGTCCAGGCCCCCTGCATTCATTGGTGACAGGGTGGAATGTCCACGAGGCACTTCAGCCATTGGAAAAGAGACATCCCCAGCAGAAGAGCAGAGGGAGGCTAAAATTTTAATGGTGAATGAGACATTCACAGTCCCTGCAGAGATGGAAACAAGGAAAGGAAGGGGTAGCATGTTCGATGAACAATCAAACTCGTGCTCTAATTTTGCTTTAAATGGATCTGGGTGTGAAAGCAGCTGCTAAAAAAGCCCTTTTCCCAGCAGCAGGAACAGAAGCTCCTTTTTCTCTGAAACGAGTCCTGACCCAGCAATCACATTGTGCTCTGCAGCGAGGCTGGACCAGCTCCGGCCAAAGCATTCCCGACGGACATGAGTTCAAGGATATCCCTCATGTGTTTGACAGGATGCAGCATTCGCAGCTGGACATCGTATCTGTCTCATTTGCAGGACAGCCTCTACTTATCCATTAGCAAAATCAGCAGATAACTCCCAGGTTTGTTCTACTGAAAAACCTGTGTCTGCCCCTGGCAATAGTAATTTGTTGGCAATTCCCTTTTCTCCCAGATTCACGTCTTTCCAAATGAACTTTCTGGTGGGGTCTGTTCTTCCTTCCCTGTTTTGAAGAAATTTGTTAGCTTTGCTGTGCTGACTGAGTCAAAATTGTCCTGCACCCCCAGCAACATGAGTACGCTGCTTTGCTGATAGACATGTGAGGACACTGTCCCTCCACAGAGCTGTCACCAGTGTGAAGCATCTGGTGGGGTAAGGGTGTGACACGGAAAAGGCATTCAATCAGTTATGACATTCTCTTAAAAACAGCTTCTCTGCACCAGAACAACCCTGGACCAAGCCTGAATTTGATCCCAGTTCCATCCATTGGGCAGCATTGCTGCTCCAGAGAGTGGGTCTCAGAGAGGTGATGATTCAGATGTGATGGGTGGGAGGCTGGCATGCTCCTGGGAGTGGATATTTGCTCTCCCTATCCTCCAGCCTTAGATGTTCTCCCCAGAGGCAGAGCCAGGATGGCCAGAGAGCGAGGTGGAGTTGTGGTTGGTCTCAGCTCAAGAAAGACCAGTGCTTGCAGAGGAGTAGAAAGGCACAGTCCTTGCCCCAGGGACCTGACAGCCCACCACTGGACCAGGCAATGGCAAGAATGGGAATGGTGCTGTGGGATGGCACATTCCCAAGGCCAGCCTTGGTCCATCCTCAGCAGCGCGTGCTGGAAGCCATTCCACTGCTCCGGCTTTGTGCTTCAAAGGTTTGGCTGCAAACGCAGCTATCCTGCAGTGGGGCCACCTCTGCCTTCTTTCTGCAGGGCAAGGCCACTGTGGCCACTTGTTTGGCCAACAGCTGCAGCCTGTGGCCGTGGCAGTGCCTGTGTTGATGTGGGGATGGGGCATCTGCCTGTTAGTACAGTAGCTGGGAGTGGGAATTAACCCAGTGAAAGCCACCCTACGGCAGCCACTGCTAGACATCAGCGCCCATAAACAGCGGCTAAGGAACCCCTGATATGCCCCCATGCACCAGAAGGGAAACTGAGGTGGGGTGTTAGTGTCAGGGTTGGGTTAGCACTGAGATGGAGAAACGGAAGGGAACATGATGTGGTATCTTCTTTTCCCACAACTTTGGGAAGCAAAGGAATCATCCTCAAAACAAAGCCTGAAAAGCAGACATGTAAGTCCTCTCTGATGGGTCTAAGATGCTGTCTGCAATCCCTGCCTTGGGCTGAATTATCCTAAGAGCCCTGTGGTTCTGCGTGGAGCAATTAAAAGTGGATCCCAAGTCTCTGCAGGATCACCCAGCAACTATTTTCAGCAAGGCTACATTCATGCACAGTTTCTTTGTTCAAGGAGACCGTTTCCTAAAGAAGCCTGAAATGTGCCAGTTAGAGATAAGGATGAAAAACAAAAATACAGCCAGTGAGTCAAAAGGGCAAAGAAAAGAAGGACCCCTCTCCAAGAATGGCGCAGGGTTTTGAGCAGTCCCAGGGCATTGACCAGCACAGTCCCGCCGGTGTCAGTGAACCCACCCTGCCTTGCCCCAGCTGGACAATTGCCTTGGGCCCATTCCCAGAGGAAAAGTTTCCTCCAAGGTCTCCTCTGGAGATCAGCAACCCAGAGTTGACCTCAGCTGAACTGGATGACACCAGTGAAGGTCTCCCTGCGAAGCATCGCTCCCCCACAGACCATCAGACCCTTCCCGTGTGGTTCCCGAGCAGGAGCGAGATGCTTTCCCCTTTCCCGGGGACCACACGCGTGCAGTCTCCATAGCAACAGCTTTGTTTCCAGTCAAACTTTTTATTTTTTTCCCCTTTTTCCTCCTTTTTTTTTTTTTTTTTTATGTTTAAATAAGGGTGCTATTCAGTGAACTGCTGGGGACGGAGGAGGGAGGGCAGGCTGATTCCCAGGGATTGCAGTTATTAGGCGCTTCGTACGTTGGTGACAGGCTTGTCATTTGCCAAGCCGGCTCTTCGCCGCAGCGCCGGCTCTGGCAGCTCTCCAGCGCTTCCGAGTTAAGCAGCTTTCCAAATGCTTCGACCCAGTTTGCCTTAACTGGTGGTTGGGTCTGAGCTGCGCTCCCGCAGGAGCCTTTCTGCCTCCTCGGGGGGCTCGCATCCATCCCCAAGCAGAGGAGCCTGAGGAGTTTGGGGAGAGTGTTCAAACATGAGACTTTGTCAGCTCAGAGAAAGTGGAGAGGGATCAGAGAGAAATTAAGCTATTTGGGGCTCTCCTTGATCAGGTCCCTCCAGGAAGAGCTGAAGAGGGGCTCTTTCAGAGCCCTCTTATCCATATCCAGGTGCTCTGCCTTCCTCCTCTCTGACAACGCATCTTTCCCCCTCCTCCAACACAGCCTCCTGTTTTCCACTCCTCCCCACCCTGCTGGGTATCACAGCAGTGTTCATCTCCCCCTGGGGATGCCTGGGGAAGCTCTGATTTTTTAAGAATCATCTGCAGGAGAGGTGTCAGTGTCTCAAATATCTGTTCAGATTTCACAGGGGAAGAGCTTGGCAGCATCCTGAGAACCCCCCTTTGCCATCCCAAACCAAGCCCAGCGCCTGCTTCCCACAGTCCCTGTGAGTGTATGGGGCCGGGTGATGCTCTGACTTCCCAAGCCATGTCTGACAAGCTGTTACTGAGGAGTCAAAATCATCCTTGATGCCTCCAAGTGACTCTTTAAAGTGGCGATTAACTATTCACGCTTTAATCTCCCCGAAACAGGCTCCAGCCCTTTGGCATCTTATTTCCATCTCTCTCTGTATCCTTCCAAATATGGTTAGTGCAGAAATGCTGATAGCAGAGGTTGGAGCTGCTGCCGAGTATATAAATCCAGGCATTGTATTAAGGCAGCTAATAGGCCAGCTTCTTATTTACTGTCCCTCGCACCCTCTGTCCTGTCCCTAAAGTAATTTTATGCAAACTCATTCAAATGAAACCTTCTCTTTAAAGGCTGTTCCTTGGCAGTGTTAACCAACACAGACTCGTCCTCTCTCCTCTGAGGACTGGGCTCATTTTGAGTGTTATCAACTGTGGGAAGACAGGCCCGGAGTGCTAACTAGGATGAGCTGGAGGCAGCCTTCGGCACTGAGCGGTGCTGCTGGAGTTCGGGAAATGCCTTTTCCTCTCCGCCTGGATGGGGGAGAAGCTCACATCTGGATTTCTGACCCTAACTTTGGAGAGGTGTTACCTCCACGCTGGATGAGAAAGAGAATGCGTGCTCTGCCCTCAGCAAGGGTGCTGAACTGGGAAAGGGCTTCTTCCGAAGTAGCAGGGAGCGGGCAGAACCCGGGGCTGTCCCTGTGCCTGTCCAGCCCTGGGATGGCCGCTGTGCTGCGAAAGGCTGTGGAAGACCCTTTGCAAAGGGCTTTGCGAGGAAGGGGCACCCCTCTGACCTCGTCCCACGCAGAGGCTAAAGCGAGAGGTCACCAGGGAGCATTGCTGCTGAGCTGGAAATAGCAGAGTCAGGGACACGGGTGTCCCGGACTGCAGCTGCAGCCTCCCTCCCTGCCCACAGGGGCATGGCATTTATACCGATTTTGGCCCTACTTTGCAGTACCCAACCAAGGGGTGGGTTTGAGCACTCACATCTGTGCTCTCATGCATCATGGACCCAGCAGCTGGGGCAGGGGGCACTGTGACTGGACTGGACCCTGCTTTGGGGGAGTTTCTAACCTGGTCTGACCTGGTCCTTTGAGCATCTTGGGGCAGCAGCATGCGTATTTTTAGGTGCTGTCCCCACTTCCTGTCTTTGTTAGGAAGGCAACGCTAAATCAGATGAGTGGTAGAGCTGGGTGATGTTACAGCCCCAGAAAGCTGCTGATTAAGTGTTAAATTTAACACTTAATATATCCTTTCCCTTCCATCTGGAGCGAAGAAAGACTCCTCAGCAGCTGCTCCCTGTGGTTTTCCTGACTGAGCTTCATGTGACATCCCAAGTACTGCACCCTGCCAGGAGGCTTGACCTTTCTTGTCCCAAATACCTCCTCCCTAAATCCCTGTGTCCTGGATCTGCCAGCCCTGCCTGGTCATGATCCTCTTCCCAAGGAACTTGACTTGCCCTCCCATCAGCAAGGTATGGGTGCTGCACACCCCACAGGCACCGATGGAGTTTTGGCTGGCGCGTGTCTCCTGTGTCCCAGGAGCAGGGAAATAAAGGGAATCGTGGATGACCATGTGGATTTTGTTCCAGATGAGTGTGAACTCTCTCCCACTGCAGAGATGGAGCCTGCAGGGCTTTGTCCATGGCTCAGAGCAAGGGTGTGCAAAGGGATTTTAGCTCTGCTCCCCTGAGGAGGACATTGCTCCCCCCAGCTTTTGTAGGGTATGCAGGACCCAGAAGCTTAAACCCCTCTGAGGATCCCTCCTGGACCCCCATACAAGCTGGAAAGCTATCACCAGCACCCTGCAGCAAGGCCCTGACCCTCAAAAGGACATGGTGAGCTGGCTGTTGGGGCCAAAAGTACTGAAGATTAAGAAGGGAATCAGGCACATTTGCACTCCCCAGCCTGACCAGCCTTACAAATCACAGGCCAAAATCACTGAGGGCTTGCCATAAGCAGCCAAGCCCCTCTGTGTTTACCTCTGCCTACACCACAGCCTGACCACAGCAGCCAGCAGAGCATTTGCGCTCCTGTCCCCGACGGCGAGGGACTGTGTTCATCAGCAACAGGATGAAACCAAAGAGCCAGGAAGTCAAACCTCACAAAAATGTACATTCTTTGAGCCATTTGTTGCAGAGGCTGTGATGGCTATGCTAGGGGCTGCACAAGGGAGCCAGACTGCTGAGCTGTGTTTCCTAGGAGTTTGTGGACTCGCTGGTGTCTAATAAAGGGTTAAGCTCATATGGCAGCTTTTCTTTCATAATGCACTAGTGGGTTGTTATCCTGTGTTCAGATATTTGTTGCCATGAAACTTTTCATGTTGGAGACCTATAATCCAAGCTTAGTTGGAACTGGCCAAAGGATTTTACAGTCATTTGGCAACAAAGATGTACGCACATAAACATTTAAACACATGCACACACGCACAAGCTTTGTTTCTTT